AATCGTTGTTGGTGGTAATTGTAGCTGGGATGGTGAGCAGGGCTCTGTTCTCGCTTTATCTTTGAGCGCTCGCTGCTCTGCTCTCGCTCATCGCTCATATGAGCATGTATTTGCGTAACAGCTTAGTATGTAATTGTATTAGTCGAGGAGTAACCAGCACTAAGGCGGCTTCCTGTGCGCCATGGCAGCTGCTGTTGCTGTTGCTGTTGCTGCTGCTGTTATTGTTGTTGCTACTGCTGCTGCTGCTGCTGCTGCTGTTGCTGTTGTTGGTATTTTCGTTGTTGTTTGCGTGTTAGTTGGGCTGTTGATGCTGCTGATGCTGCTGATGCTGTTGCTATTGCTCATTTGGCGTAAACGAGAAGCGAGCGAGCTTTGCTGTTTTTGCGGTTGAGCTCGCTGCTGCATTTAAGCGTTACGCACTTCCTGCACAGAATGTTATTACTTCCGTTGCCTTTTAATTGATTTTGAAGGTGCGTAGCGACAGGTGAGGGCAGAGGCAGAGGCAGTGGCAGAGGCAGAGTCAGCAGCAGGGGCTCTCGCACAGTTAACGTGACTGGCACCGGCAAATTTCTGCGCCCGTTGGCCATTAGCAAATTGTGGGTTAAGTGCTTTGTATGCTCGGCAATGCCACGCCTCTCACACACACGCCCTCACCCCCCGCATGCATTCCATTCCATTCCATTGCAAACACCATTTCGGCCAATGCAGCTGTGCAAATTGCTTGACGCACTCAGTTTGAGCCACGGCTGTGGTTTATGGCTCTGCCTTAACCGCACTTTCGTTTTGTGCGGTTTTTAGGCACTTTTTCAATGTTATGAGGCTGTTAGCCTTGTTAGCCATGCGTAAAAGTTATTAGTGGAATGCACTCACTAAGCCGTCTCGCTTCAACGAGCAACTGACTAGATAACTCTTAACTCTCACCTCACCTTACCTTACCCACCCCTCCCCTCCCCCAGACTCTCCCAGAAAACCCTAAAACCCAAACAGCACTTAAGCTGTTGCCAAGTGCAAGAGTTTTGGTTTTGCTTCTGGTTTCGGCTTTGAGTTTGATTTTGGAGTTCACTTTATGCCTCACCTCCCGCCCCCCCTGCTAAGTATAGAGGTAGCATAACTCAAGGTGAGACTAAGCACTCCGAGCAGAGCAACAAATTTATCACATTTGACTTATCAATATGCAATTTTATTAAGCTTCAGCATTAATTAAGAAACATTTTAGCATAACGGTATATCTACTAAGCTCGATGCACAATGCACAAGTTCTGCGAGTCATCGAAACGTGGGCGATAATAAATCATCCAACAGCTGCGACTGACACGAACAAATCGGAATAAAGTGCATCAAATGCAAACTGACAACGCATTTGAAATTAATTAAATCACA